GCACACTCAGTGGTCGGTAAGTGGCGGCACACAGCAAGGCGAGTAGCAGCATCGCGCGTGGCCCACTGTGAGCAAACAGTGGCGTCAGCATCAGCAGTAGGGGCAGGGAAGGCACCAGAAGTGAGGTCAAACGGTGAGAGGCCGTCTGCCCTATCGCACTGCAGGAAAAGCTGCAGATCATCTACCCATACCTCAAAGTCCACTGCCCGGCCCTCAGCGTTGAAGGTGAGAACACTTGGGGAGGCCAGAACAGCAGTAGACAGGCAGTGAGAGCAGTGGGGCAGGGCAGTGCAGTGGCAGAGACTATGCTCTTACCAGGCAAGTGGGGCGGTCGGGCGGCTTGGCGGCTCGGCGGTCGGGCGGCTCGGCTGCTCGGCGGCTCGGTGGCTCGGCGGTCAAGCGGCTCGGCTGCTGGGTGGCTCGGCTGCTCGGTGCTGGGCGGCTCGGCGGTCGGGCGGCTCGGCTGCTGGGCGGCTCGGCTGTCGGGCGGCTCGGCGGTCGGTCGGCTCAGCTACTCGGCGGTTTGGCGTCTCGGCGGTGCGGGCGCTGGGCGGCGGGGCCGCAGGTGGCGGCGAGGCCGCAGGTGGCTACGGGGCCGCAGGTGGCGGCGGGGCTGCAGGTGGCGACGGGGCCGAAGGTGGCGGCGGGGCCGCAGGTGGCGACGGGGCTGAAGGTGGCGGTAGGGCCGCAGGTGGCGACGGGGCCGCAGGTGGCGACGACTTTGCTAGGGCTCGTGCCCACTTTTCCTCACTTGTTGTAGACCTTGCCTGTACTGTGATCTATATATCTATACCTGCATACTTGCTAGACATAGATCACTGTGATGTTTTTGCTATATATATGCCTCTACATGTGAACTGGCCTTGTGGTCCTTTGCTTGTGCTCAGAGTGTGTGGTGACGTTGTGATCCACTCCACCCTGAGCTTGCTTTGGTTTTCTTGACTGGTCCTGTGACCCCTTGTTCTCCCCCACTTAGCTTATAAGGGTGTGTCAAACATTATATATGTTTCTGTTGTGTAGGCTAAAGTGGGTTAGCCTTTAGGGGGTACATTTCACGAGGGTTTCATACTTGTACTCCAACAACTTTCTAGTTCATCACTTCTTGTTATGGGGGTGTGTCAAACATTATATATGTTTCTGTTGTGTAGGCTACAGTGGGTTAGCCTTTAGGGGGTACATTTCACTAGGGTTTCCTACTTGTACTCCAACAACTTTCTAGTTCATCACTTCTTGTTTCTGATACCAGTTGGCTTTTAGAAGCTGGAACCACCAAACTTGGCTGGATACTTAGGACGTGGGCCGAATCGAGTTTGATCGCGACTGATCTGATAGGGTTGGACCAGATCGGGTTGCTTGTGATCGCAGTGCCCGAGCCGCCAGGCCTCTGGTTAGGATTTGAGCCTCTCTTTCTCGTAAGGCCAATGCTCCGTCTACACTCTTTCTGAAAGGGTACGTTGCAAAAATACTCTTTCCTAGCAGGGTGCAGAAATAGGCTAGAAAACGTTATATCTGCTACACTTACATTGTATGGTGTTTGCGTGACTTGCGGTGTAAATTTGATGCTAAGGATGCAGGTTCGATATTCGATGTAGGTGATCTCTGTTGTGGGATGCTGTGTTATTGTGTTTTACGCAGGAAAATGTAACATCCCTGCTAGAGCGAACCCGGTTTCGTCAGTGTGTTTACATCTCGTAACTCTGAAATATCAGTGTCCTAGAACCAAACATTTTTTTTTGGAAGGGTCCCGAAATGAACCACTCTGAAAAAAAAAGAGTTCATTATGAAAACCAGTCTTTTAGTCAGTCTTATAAGGGTGATTCACCCTGTTAACCAGAGGCCTGCGAGCCGCCCAATCAGTCATGTTTTTCGAAGAAGGTTGTCAGCGCCTGCTCAGCAAGCGGGATACATCTACCTAGCATTTTCGTCCCCATTTTAGCGAGATTGGCGACTAGAAGTCACCCGGCGAAAATCTTCGTTTCCCTGTAAAGGCAACAGTGTAACAACTCGCAAGCATCGCTGGGGCCCCCAATCACAAGCAATCAAGTGATCGCCTGTGATCGAGGAAAATCGGCTCTGATCGGGCTGAAAATTGGGTCTGATAGAGTTGGAGCGATCAGTTGATTGCCCCCGATTGCTTGAAATTGGCCTCCAGGCTTCCTGGAAGTTCTTAATCGAGTGTGATCGAGGCGATCAAACTCGATTGGGCCCACGTCCTTACCTGACACGGTCACCAAATTTGTCTGATGCCTGTTGAACGACATTCCGGACAGCACTGGACTATTTTGTTTGAAACTTCTGTTTTTTTTGTTTTGTTTTGTTTTTGTTTTTTTTTTTCTGTACTAAGAAGCTGCATCCAGTGGGTTCGGCCAGTTTTTCCGAAACGCGGTGTTGGTTCCGGTACTTGTACGTGAAACTATATGTTGGACCATATAAAGGCAAATCTAGATGTACTCTCTATTTATATTCTCCACTACAAGACCATGTTCCATCATAGCTCCTTCCCAAACCTAGTGTGCCAGCATGGCATGGGCCATGGTGTTCGAGGTTCGGCGTGCCTTAAAATCTCGTCCCTTTTTCCAGCATCTTGGGCAGCCTGGAAACAAATCCTGCAGCGCAGCCGCCTCATACCATGCCGCCGCAATGTGGGGCAGGTGTGGTGTGGGGACAAAGTGATCGATATGAGCCAATGGCAATGTCTTGGCTCGGCGCGTTGCGTTGGGCAACTGGAGGACCTAAAAAAAACAGTGTTGTACAGTGCATGCAAACAAGCAGAAAATAGCGCTTAGTGAGATGGGAGAGTGGGAGGAGAAATGGGAGCAGCAAGGTCCCACCCAATTCTCCCTCTCTGTCGCCTCTTTCTTGTTCTCGTCCTGCCCGTCCCCCCCCTCTCCGCCACTTTCCGCTCGCTCCTCCTCATCGAGTTGCGAGGGTCGAGGCTCGAGGTGCTCCATGCTGCAAGCAACCCAACTGTCCTCTGGGGTTCATAAACTCACTGCATAACCCAGTGGCGTCCTTTTCGGCTCTCGTCCCAGCTACACAGCCACGGATTTTGCCGTCATGGTAATCTCTGGAGTGGCTGGGATTAGAGCTGCTTATCGCTAGTGGCATTCGCCACTCTTTATTCACCGGAGGGGTTTCCTCCTTTTTTTTTTCCCCTCCGATTTCGTAGGGCCCTCATTCGGAGGCCCTTTAATCTAACTCGCTGATCGCAGCTCCTCGCGCCTCGAAACGCCGATTGCGGATCCCGTTCGCTCGAGCGAAGCTTTCGGCAGCAGGAAGTGATCCGTTCGCCCTTAGCATAAAGGATGCCAGGACCCCAACTCGTGCAACGAAGAGCGCCCGATCTTTTGGCGCATTTGCATTCCGATCTCAACTCGAGTTTCTCCGCGGGCGTTCCCTCAATCCCTCCCGCCAAGGCCTGTCTTTCTCGGCGCTTCGCAGGCGCAATAACGGACGCGGCGGCGGCGGTACCAGTGGACCCGAGTCCGAAACAGCTGCCGATTCCGGTCGAGAATAAGCCGTTAAAGTCGCCGCGAAGCTCCCTTACTTACTCCTCGCCTCGATCATCCTTCTCGTCTGCTCCCGTTCCCTCTCCCGCTGCTGCTGTTGTTGCTGCTGCTGCCGCTACTCGTTCTGGCGATAGTGTGGCTCTCAGCATGTCGCCGATTTCGTCTTCTTTGGTTCCAAGTCAGCTCCCGAGTTCAGCCGTCGCGAGCTCGTTTCTCCGACAGAATGCAGCATCGGACGGTGTAGATCTCGCAGACGACGATCGAAAGTGCCTGATCGGCAACCAATCGGATCCCTGCACGTACGACTCAGCAGCAGACTGCACGCGCCAAGCGGATCCGGCAAGTGTAACGCGGAGTGGGGGCGGTAATTGTACCGTTGACGGTAACGTAAATATGGTTGAAACGGGTGAGACGGACAGGCACGAAGCACATGCGCTGCGAGCTACTGCCCAGGAGGCTGAGTCGCCGCAATTGCCGGTGGCAATGCATGCGCGTAAGGTTAACGTTCAGGACCGCGACGATCTTCCGAGATGTTTCCAGCAACGGCAGCAGCAACACGGGGAGCGTCGGCAGCAGGATCCGCAGCAGCCGGATCGGCAGGGGCAGGATCGGCGCGAGCCGGATGGTCATCAGCAGGATCGGCAGCAGCAACAGTTTAGGCGGCGGCAAGAGGAGCAGGAGGCGGAGATGGGACAGCAACGATCGGTCAATTGCGACGGATCTGCAGCCGCAGGGCTTCGACACGATCAAGTTAACGTGCCCAGACGCGAGTTGAGCAACAGTGACTCGCTGCAAGAGCAGCAGCAAGATCAGAAGGAGCACAAGGAGCAGCAGCAGAAGTTTGGGAACGATACGGCCGATTTGGACGGTTCAGGCGATGCGAACGTTCAAGACGCCCTTGTCACTCACCCCCTTGAACATCAGTCGCAACAGCGGTCGCACAATCAGCCGCAGCAGCAGTCGCACGGTCGGCGACACGATCAGTCTGCGTCGGATCATCCTTCGCCGCAGGACTCGAGCATCGTCAGCAGCAGAGCAAGCCTATCTAACGGCAATAAGCGCGGACGGGGGGAGCCGCCGCAGCCAGCCCCTCCAGCGACGGCGGGGGTTGGGGGAGTGCCGCGCGTGAGCGTGCGCGGGGGGCGCGCGCTCGTCGTGAATACGGACCCCGATGCGACGGATTCGTCGGACGACGAGCAGGAGTTTGACTATAACGCGGATTCGAACACGTGGACCTTTCGCTTCCTCTCCGCTCCGTTTCCCAGTGCCCGCATCGCCGCTGCTGCCGGGGCCACCGCCGCCGCCCGCAGCGGCGTCAGCGTCGATGCTAACGGTTATTCTCAATCTGGAAAGGCGGCGGCGGCGGGATCGTGGGCGAGGCGATCGCGGGTGAATTGGTGGTCTGCTTCGGGCGCGGCAGCGGAAGCAGCAGGGGCTGCGACTGGGCACAGCACGGGCGCTTATGTATCGTATGCTTCTGCGCCATCACCCATGGGCGCAATGGGCGCGATCGGCGCCATGTCCGCAATAGGCGCAACGGGCGGAACGGGCGCAATGGGCGGAACGGGCGGAACGGGCGCAATGGGCGGAACGGGCGCAATAGGCGGAACGGGCGCAATGGGCGGGGGTCCTGGCGCTGTGTACTACTATCCCTACCGCGCATGGCGACCGGGCGACGAGCGATTCGCGCCTCAATTCTCCTCTCGCGAAGGACACCTTGCGCCCGCGCGCGCAGCGCCTCCGTCCGCGCATGTGCCGCCAATGCACGTGCAGCCTTTTCCGCCCGTTGCGCCAGTCACTCCCGCCTCGCCCTCCCGCGCGCCTCCACCTGCTGTGTCCGCATCGCGCGACGGTGCGCTATTCGCTGCGCCGGCGTGCTGTGCCCCCGCTTCCGCGACCTCCGCGCGCTGCTCGCCCCGCGAGCTATATGCGCAGCCCGCTCCGCACATGGGGGGCGATCTACCCGCCGCCTTCCCCTACTATCCCTACCCTCCTTTTTCCGCCGCGTCCGCGCTGCCGCCCGCGGGGATGCCGCCGTGCGGAGTGGCGGGGTGCTACGACTGGGCGTGCAGGCGCTGGCAGGGGGGCGCGGGCGCGCCCATGCCCCTTCCGCCTCCCGCGCCTCCGCCGCTTCCGCCGCCGCTGCCCGCGTGCTGCTACCCTGTGAACGGCAGCCGCGCGTGCGGTAACTTGCATGCGGAGGGCGGTGCTTTGGACGGCGCCGTGGGCGCGCCGATGAGCGGGCTGGCGTATGGGAGGTTCGCGCAGCAGTTCGGCGCGCATCAGTTGGGCGCGCAGCAGCAGCAGCCGCCGCTGCAGCAGCAGCGCAGCGCAGTGGTGATGGCGCAGCAGCAGCAGGCAGTGGCGCAAGGCGGGGAAGTGTGGGGCACGGAGTGGCGTGAAGAGGAGCAGCAGGCGAGGAAGGCGGAAGTGATGGGAAGGACAGGAGTGGATAATCATGCGATGGCGCTGCTTGGAGGACTGGCAGCAGGCGCGGCAGCAGGTGCAGCAGGATGGAAAGACGAGGAGCACTTGAGTGCGATGCAGTGGACAAGCAACATAGAGCCGTTTCCTCGCTCGTTCACTCCTGCTCCTGCCCCTGCTGATGCTTCTGCTGCTTCGAGTGCGCCAGGGCCCGTGTCAGGAGTTGCAACGGCAGCGGCAGGCATTGGAGAAAGAACCTCAGCAGGAGAAGCTCTCTTGCACCCGCCGACAGCAGCAACAGCAACAGCAGCAGGGGCGCGGGTGCAATCACCACCATCTGCAGTTATGCGTGCGGTCTCACCACGTGCTGAAGCAGCAGCAACAGCAGGACCAGAAGCAGCAGTAGGAGGGGAGGCCGGCACTCTCGCAGCAGCAACGACAGCAGCGACAACTGTTACAACGTGCGGTTACCGTGGGGTGCGGCAGCGGCCGTGGGGCAAGTGGGCGGCGGAGATCCGCGATCACACGCGCGGGGTGCGCGTGTGGCTGGGCACGTACGACTCTGCTGACGTCGCTGCCCGCGCCTACGATGCTGCTGCACGTGCCATCCGCGGGCCTCGTGCCAAGACCAATTTCGCCCCGCTTGGGGAAGAGGGCGGGGGTGTGGGAGAGGATGGGAGTGGCGGGAGTGGTGGTGGTGGTGGTGGTGGTGGTGGTGGTGGTGATGGTGGAGGTGGGGATGCTGATGGTGGTGCCAGTGGTGCCGGTAGTGGTGGTGCGGGGGGGAGTGACGGGGTCGGCAACAGCAGCAGCAGCAGTGGTGTGTGCAGCGGTGGAACTGCTGCTCCTTCTTTCGCACCTGCTCCGGCTGCTGCTACCGCTGCTCCCACTTCTCTTCTTCCCCCTCCTTCCCCTGCTCCTGCTGCTGCTCCTGCTCCTGCTGCTGTTGCTGGTGCTGGTGTCTCAGCTGGAAAAGCGGCGCTGGCCGGTGTTTCTGTTACATGTCCTATCATCACCGGTGCTGCTGCCCGCACGACTCGTTCCACCACAGGCAAAACGGCAGCAGCAGCAGCAGCAGGCATTGTAGGATCAGAAGTGGTCACTGGCACTCGCGCTGATGATGCCACGTGTGCCAGATGCAGACCCTTTAAGCGCCGGTGTGGACCAGGATCCGTGGCAAAGCGTGTGGGAGCAGGTGCGGGGGCAGGCGGGCGTGAGTCCGCAGCTGCTCCCACTCGCAGATGGGTGGCTGGAGACAGCATCCCTGCACCTCCTGCACCAGCAGAAGCAGCAGAGGCAGCGGCGGCAGGAGCAGCAGCGGAAGTGGCAGAAGCAGGTGCCAAGGTGCTTCCTCGAGAGCACAAAACACCTAAGGCGCTGGTGGCTGCAGCAGCAGCAGCAGCCACTGCAGGTGGCGTTGCTGGGTTGCGCGCAGAGGCAGCAGGAGAGGCAGCAGGAGAGGCAGAGGGAGAGGCAGAGGGAGGTGCTGGTGGGGCAGGCGGTGAGGAGGAGGTGGAGCGGCGTGGGTGTGGGTCGTTTGAGAGCGTGGCAGCGTCGGGCGTGTCTGATGATGCCTTGCTGCTGCTCCCCTCTGCTCTTGCTGCTGACACCGCTCCTGCTGCTACCGGTGCAGCTGCGGCTACTGCTGCCGCCGTTGCTGGCGCTGGTGCTGGTGCTGCTGGTGCTGGCGCTGGTGCTGGTGCTGCTGGTGCTGGTGCTGGTGCTGGTGCCGGCGGTGGTGGTGGTGTGGGCGTGGCGGCGTCTGCGTGTGTGCAAGATCTCGACGACATCTCCTGTGCGCTCTTTGGTAGCGGTGGTGGTGGCGGCGATGACGACAGCGACGAGGGCCTGCTGCTGCTGCACGGGGACCTGTGCCTGGACGCATTCGACCTGCACCACATGGACTTGGAGCACCTCCATGGCATGCCTGGCATGGCACAACTTGATGACGATCTCAATGACCTGGATGAGTCGAGTCGGGAGGACGAGGAGCAGCAGGCGGACAGGGAGGGGTATGTGGGAGAGGAGGAGGGAGGGGAAGGGGGAGAGGAAGGGGGAGAGGAAGGGGGAGAGGGGGTGGATCTGGAGCTTCTGGGCGATGAGTTGGAGAGGGGGTTTGTGCTGGATGATGCTGATTTCGACCTGACTCTGGAGTTTGAGCAGGAGACCATGGCACTGGATGATGCTGACGAGAAGGGGGAGGAATCCCAAGGGAAGCACCATGCAGACACGCGGCAAGGCGTGGTAAACGCTTCTGGTGCCGCTGGTGCGTCGCTGGGGATGGGTGTGGAGGTGAGAGGAGGGGACGGTGGGGAGGAGGAGGAGGACTTAATGGGGGGGGAGTTGGAGTTGTTGGAGGGGTTGGACTGTGAGGGCATGTCGTTCAACTTCATGGCTGAGATTGACAGCGTGCTTCTGCTGCACGACCCCTGCGCTCTTGAGGCTGCTGTTGATGCTGCTGGCGCTGCTGGTGCTGGTGCTGGTGCTGGTGTTGGTGGTGCCGGTGGTGGTTCTGGTGCTGCTGGTGGTGGCGGTGGTGCTGGTGGTAGTGAGAGGGTTGCTGAGTTTACTGCGCAGCCGGAGAGGCACAGCAGGGCGAGAGAGGGGGAGGACCATGGCAGTGGGTATCGCAGCAGGTTTGAGAGGAGCAGGAAGGCAGAGGGAAGCAGTGAGATGGGAAGGAAGAAGAGCAAGAGTCGCAAGCACAAGAAGCAGCACAGCAGCAGCTCGTTCAAGGCCAAAAGGTCCTCCTCTTCCAGTAGAAGTGCCAGTGGCAGCGGTAGTGGCAATGGCAACGGTTTTGGTCGTGCTTCGTCTTGGTCCAAAAGTCGCAGTTATGATGCTGGCACATGTAGAGAAGCCACTGCTGCTGCTGCTGCTGTGCCAAAGCAGAGTGGCAGGTCGGAGGGATGCAGGGATGGTGCGCGCGCTGCTGTGGTTGCAGCTGCGAGCGACCTCTTTGAGTGGAGTGGGCCCATGTGCGATGCTGGAGATGGCATGGTCGAGATCTCCTTTGGCCTCGACTGATTGAATGTGACGTTGTTTAGATAGGGATGAATCATCAAGCTTAACGGGCAAAGAGGGAGTTTTGAAGCACTGAGGAGGCTGTGGGTCACGCTGGGATGGTGAGATTGGTGGAGATCTTTTGTTGTGGCATTGAGCAATGAGCATGCTAGCACCCTTCTAGGAGCTGGGGGAGCATTTGTGATTAGCTTTGGGTTGGTTCTTGGAGCCCACATGGGGCACATGTGGGCTTGAGCCAACCCTGATGTTAGTGCTAGTTTGGCCCACATGGGTCCAAGTGTTCTTGTCATGTTTGTTTTTTCGTATTAGCAAGCATTTTGTTGTGTACATCCTCAGTGTACACCAGAGAATCCATCTGACGAACGAACCGAAATTCTGAAGCTGGTGGTAACACACCGAAGCGTTACGAAAGTCTTCAAAACTGAGGACGCGGTGCAGGTGCAAATATCGCAGGATCGTCTGCACATAACGATCCCCGCAATCGATTGGGCAGATCGATTGGCGAAACGTGGCGATCGCGACTTTGTAACGATCGCCACTGAAATTTGATAGATCTCCCGCGATTTGTGATCAGTCGCATTCACACACTGTCCAAAAAATTGGGCCAAAAAGAAAACTGTAGCATGGTTTTAGCGTAGTAAATAGGGTAACCGATCTGCACATCGATCGCGACTGACGTTCGGCTGTCTACTCTACCTCGTCCTCACCGTACTACGGTCTTCCTGCCTCGACTCCCACCATCACGTGGACCGCTCCAGCAACAGCAGCAGCCAGGCAGTCTTTCTCACCTCACCTCTCACCTGCCCTGCCCCGCCCCAGTCCCACACCACACCAGCTAGTAGTCTCACTGCAGCAGCACTTGTTTACTGACCATCTCATCTCATTCCATCCTCTGCTCACAAAACACGAGCCTTCCGTAGTTCGGCGGAGCACATTCCACGCACTGGTTTCCCAAGTGCATACCCCCCTCCGTGTCTTCTGGCCAGAAAACCTCAAGGTTGGAATTTCGAGGTTTTCATTTCTTTCGAGTTGGAAGAGGAGCGCTGCAAGCGCGGTGCTATTCGGCGCTATACGTGGCGAACGCGACGCGACGAGCTTGCAGGCTCCAGTGCAGATTAGGGTTCTCTTATAACGGGCAGATCGCAGCCGTTCAATCCATCTCACCTTCACAGGTATGACATCAGCGTGCCCTTTCCCCGCGCAGCTTCCTTCCTAAAAAAAAAAACTGTGTCCTCTTACTCGACAGTCACTCGCACTGCGTATGAGGAGGAAACAAATCAGCTGGTGAATGCGCTTGTTTTACTCCATCCACTGAATTCCCGGCATTCCCCTGACTCGGCTGTTGTATCGACTAAAATGGACCATCTGTGCTTCCACAACACATCGCATGCTCAAGAGGTTCGTTCCCCGCGTGCTGCCATACAAGTTGCGCGGAGACTTGTTGGGGATAGAGGAGCTGTTAGGTGGGTGGGAGCAACGGCGGTGGTATCGCGCTTGTCATTCTGCGGAACGGGTCTCGTCTCGTCGCGTAGATCGCGTTAGCGCATTCGCGGTCAGAACCTGTAGAAGGCGTCATTTGCTGCGTCGTGGTGACGAGATCGATCGAGCCCCGCACATGCGACGACCGGACCTCGAGATTCTGCCATTCAGCTAGTATGCAATTCTGCAATTCGGCGATTCTAGGATTCTGTGATTTTTTTTATCCCTCCCGTGCACATCATTACTCTCCGCGCGCATCCGGATCGACGCCGCTGTTCTCCCTGCTGCGACAGCGTCGAGGTGACATGGCTTGTGCATCCACGTGGCTCAGAAGCCATGCTCACAGCGTCGGGTTCAGACTCGAATCGAGAGTTACTCTTGATTCAGCCGTGAAAATAGGACATTTTAGGCGTATTTTTATGCCCTTGCACTACCATCCGCGAGCAGAATTCGTTCCATTCCAGTGACCTTTTTTTTTTTTTTTTTTTTTTTTTTTCCGGGTTTCATAATCTCGCATTAAGCGCGACACACGAAAAAAACGCGTACGACGGGCTTTAAATGAAATGAGTGCGACAAGAGGTGAAGCGCCGCTTGTGCGTCTGAGCTCATCTCGTGCCGGCTGCTGCCAGTCAGTCAGGCAAGCCTCCCCTGAAGTGCCAGTTGTGATGAAAATAATCTCCCCTCCCCCACTTCCCCCACTCCGCCCACTTCCCCCACTCCCCCCACTTTCCCCACTCCCCCCACTTTCCCCACTCCCCCTACTTCCCCCGCTTCCCCCACGCCCCCCATGTCCCCCTTCCTCCTTCCGCCTCTCCTCCCCACAGCGTCCTCTGTGTCACCGTACGTACCAGTGTGCGCCTCTTACTTCTCATCCTCCGCAATCATTCCTGCCACCCCCCTTCCTTTACCGTGTGCCCTGCTCCCGCCACGCCCCAGCAACACCGGCACCCCGCGTCCTCTGCACCAATCTCGCAGTCTTTCCCAGCTCCCGCGCACCTCACTCTCCGCACAATCGCTTCCACCTGGCACTTGCTACTTCTCACGGACATGTGCTGAAACTGGTAGTTGCTGTTGGCAGCTAGCCGAGTTTGAGTTGCTGTAGGTCTCCACCACTCTCCCCACAGGGCCTTCCTTCCTCCCGGCACCACTTCTCCGTCCCACACAGTTCCTCATGGCTTCTGGGGTGGAAGACCCCAGCAGCAGCATCAGCGGCACCACCACCACCACCACCTCCAGTGATAACAGCAGTACCCTGGCCATGGGGGGGAGTGGTGACGTCGCTGCGCCCTCCTCCTCAGGCCCCGCCTCCCCCCCTGCGACCATCCCCCATGCGCCAGCCGCGTTTGGCTCCCCCTCCGCCGCCGCCCAACCCCCCCCTGGCGCAGCTGCTGCCTCCCCTTCTGGCGCTAACGTGCGTTCCTCCCCGTCCTCCGCCGCTGCTGCAGCAGCCACCATTGCGAAGCTATCGATCGGCCCCACGCCTCTGATGCTCCCTGCCACAGCCGCTCGTGGGAATATCCCTGAGTCCCCGGGCCCGTCCTTTGGGGTGGCGCCTTCCCCGGGTGTGCCTGCCTTCGCCCCGCCCTTTGGAGCTAAGTTTACTGATAGGGGCGGGAGTGTGAGCGCGGGTGGCGCAGGGGGAGGGGGGGGGAGGGCGGAAGGGGGAGGAGGAGGAAGCAGTGGGGTGAGAGTGGGGGGAGAAGGAGGTGAAACGGGTGGTGGAGGCGGCGCGGGAGGAGGGGGAGGAAGGGGGGGAAAACAGCAAGGGAGAACAGCAGGAGGCAGAGGTGTGAGGGGGATGGAGGGAGTGAAGGAGGACGAGGCTGAGGGGCGAGATGTGGAAGCGGTTGCTGCTGCTGCTGCTGCTGCTGCTACTGCTGGGGTTGGTGGCGGCGGGGGTGGTGCAGGCGGTGGGGTTACTGGTGGAGGGTCCAGCACAGGAACAGGAGGAGCAGCGGGGTTGAATGGGGCAGGGCACCACCATCAACAGCAACCGCACGTGCATCACACCCAGGCACATGGGCACACGCATGTGCATGGGCATGGGAATGTACATGGGCATGCTGTGGGTCATGGGCATGGGGAGAGGCATGGGCATGGGGAGAGGCTTCATGGGGCAAGTGCAGGGTCAGCAGCAGCAGGGACAGCAGCAGCAGGGACAGCAGCAGCGGCAGCAGGCGGAGGGGTAGGGGGAGCAGCAGCAGCAGCGGTGGCGGGTGCACGGCCGCGGCTGAGAGTGGCGTATGAGGGCAACCGGGACGAGGGCTCACTCATGGCTGGCAGCATGAAGTTTGCCCCCACTCCCAGACAAAAGGACCCGCCCAACCGCTCTATGGGGCGGTAGAATCAGGCGGGGGTGGTTGCCTCGATTTGAGGTATGCGAGGCAAGTGACGGACACGACTCCGCGTGTGCATTGTGCTGTTCTCCATCCTTTCCTGCCTCCCTTCCTCAGTCCTCTACCCCTTCCCTCCCCCCCCCTTCCTTGGCCCTTTTCCCTCCTGCTCGTGCTACCTCATCTCATGTCTCCACTGCATGCCTCCTTTTTACCACCTCTCACACAGTTACTCTGTTTTGACCGTTAATGCCACTCGTGTGGTGTGGGTTTTTGCAGATCCATTGTGTAACATGTTGCTGGGCCACAAGCAGTGCGTGTCAACTCGAATTGACTGGAGTTTGTAGGCAGGCGTACGAATTCAGGGATGAGAATGGAAGCACATTTGGTTCGGGGTGTTGCAGATGGAGAAAATGGTTGGATAGTAACCAATGGTTACTCTTCTAATTTAACCAAAAAAGTTGGTTAATGAACAATGGTTATCCTTCTAAACGCGATTATCACTTGCTGTAACACTGGGATGTACCGCGTAGGATTTTGCATTTATAAGCAAGATTGTTAGAAACTATAAACTGCATTGACACGCGACTTAACATCTCAATTGGCTCCCTTGTGGGGTTGTTTGTAACGGGTCTTTGGTGCCCCTTCATTCGTCGGCCAGCCCTACTTTCCATGAACCAATGAAATCGCGCTTTTCTTCCAGACCACGAGGAGACCTTCTGCAGGGTGCTTCGGCGACCAGCTGGCTCGAGCAACCCGAAGCTGGGCTTCTCGTCGTTGTCGAGTCAGCAGCGCAGCGTGGGGGTCTCGATAGTTTTGAGCTGTCGACCACGAACATCTTCTTGCCCACGCATCGTTTCTGAGCCGTTCGATTCACTGGCGGGAAATCTACTCTACGATCATTCTGAGCAGAAGATAGTTTTCTGTTGCACACACCCCTCTCCTGCTGCTGCGTATACAAGTAGCATCTCTGCGTGTCACGAAATGCACCGCTCTGATGTGTTCACAAAACGGTTCATAAGGTTCCGCCTATCCATTGGTCGACGAGCTCCGCGTTTCGCAAGCACCAGCAATCGCTGGTTGTTCAACTGCCGAAACCCCACTATAATGCATGTCGCCAATGGTATCCTTACCTAGCTTAATTTCGACAAGGTCTCGCGAATCCTCCAGCAGTCTTTGAACTCTACTAGCCTTAGCAATGGCAGTGTCACCAGAACACGACATGAAGATCGCTGTGCAGCAGGGTATCACGCCCTAAGTTGGTGACCATCACAGACAGGGTCATCGATCTCCCCAAGATTGCATTCACAAGGTCATTCTCACAAGAGCTCAGCTCTAGGCGCTGGCTATTACACAATTTACAAGCCAGAAGGCATACTAGGGGCGACTAGTTCTGAGTCTTGATCTGAGCTCGGTCCGCCTCTATCTTTCCTCGGCCTTCCTCGCTCCCCCGCAACCATGGCCCCTTCCAGGGCCATCTCCCCGGCCTACGCGCGCAACGCGCTCGTTCTGTCGCTCCTTCTGGCGATCACGACTACGATCACCGCTATCCACGCGCTTTCGGATCCGCATGATCTCCGGCATTCCGCCTCGCCCGCGAGCGACTCCCCCGCCTCCACCGCCCCTCCGGCGTCTTCCGCTTCCGCCGCCGCACCCAACGCTTCATTCTCCTCCACTCCAATCCCTTCCTCCCTGCTCGCGGCGCTAGATCCAGTCGCGCGACTCGCGAAAACCGCGTCGCGGTCTCTCGCGTCGCTCTACCCGCCCACACCCGACGCTAAGACGCTCGAACCAGGCAGTCCGGCGTATCTAGACCTATTCGTGCAGGAAACGAGCTTCTACAACCGTCTCGTACTCTCCTTCCTCCCCTCCTCCTTCGTCTCCGCGCTCCCGCACTTCCCGCAAACCTGGCTCCGCAACTACGTCGCGGGCTGCCTCCTGTATCTCATCGGATCGGGGCTATGGAGCCTCGTGGTTTACTCGCTCTTTGGCTGGTTCCTCTATTCGGGCCCCGACGACATCCCGTCTCTTAAAGCCATGTGGCGGCAGATCGCCGTGTCGATGCGCGCGATGCCGCTCTACACGCTCCTGCCGACCATCTCGGAGCGGCTCGTCGAGACCGGCTGGACGCGCTGCTACAGCCAGATCCGCGAGACGGCCGCGCCGCGCTACATCCTGGGGCTGCTGCTGTACATGCTGATCGTGGAGTTCGGCATCTACTGGGCGCACCGCCTGCTGCACGATATCAAGCCGCTCTACACGCACCTGCACGCGATCCACCACATCTACAACAAGCAGAACACGCTCTCGCCCTTCGCAGGTATGCCACCCGCCACGCCTCTGTCTAACCAACTGCCACGGGTTCCGCCCTTTCTCCCGCGCCCCCTTCTTCTCCCCTTGCCGCCCCCCGCCTCCCCTCGTCCACCCTCTTCCCGCGACGCGAGTGCGCGCGCGCCCTGAACGTCGCCCTCGCTCCGTGCCTCCCGCGCATCCCGCGGGATGCGCGGCAGGGCCGCGATCAGCGGTGCGCGGATCAAGATCCGATCGAGTCGTGATCGTGCGGATAAGGCGCGCGTGGGTACGCGGGTTTCAGATCTGCGCCTTTGAGAGAGGCAACCAATTCCTGGTCTTGGTCTTAGCGCGCCTGCTCACGCACGTGCGCACGAACATGGAACATGATGGAACATGGAAGAAAAGAGCAGCGCGTTATGCGGCCGCCAGTGCGGAAGCGAACGCAAAGACCATGACCAGACAGCACTATCGCTCCACGTGGCTGCGAAAAGAGAAAGAGTTAGTGCTGGTGGATTGCAGCTGGCTCACGTGGCCCACATGGCCCACGTGTATGAACCACGGGGCACACAGTGCGCCAGCATCGGAACAATCAATTGTATAGCAATTCACCATATCCGTTCCCACCCTAAATCACCTCTCGTGTCCCGCCTACCCCGATTCCCGCCACTCCCTCCCCTTCCCTTTCCCTCCTCGTCCCGTTCCCTCCTCGTCCCCTTCCCTCCTCGTCTCTTTCCCTCCTCGTCCCTTTCCCTCCTCGTCCCTTTCCCTCCTCGTCCCTTTCCCTCCTCGTCCCTCTCCCTCCTCGTCCCTTTCCCTCCTCGTCCTTTTCCCCCCTCGTCCCTTTCCCTCCTCGTCCCTTTCCCCCCTCGTCCCTTTCCCTCCTCGTCTCTATCCCTCCTCGTCCCTTTCCCTCCTCGTCCCGTTCCCTCCTCGTCCCCTTCCCTCCTCGTCTCTTTCCCTCCTCGTCCCTTTCCCTCCTCGTCCCTTTCCCTCCTCGTCCCTTTCCCTCCTCGTCCCTTTCCCTCCCTTTCCCTCCCCTTTTCTTTCCCTCCCCTCTTTCCCTCCCCTTCCCTTTCCCTCCCCTCTCTCCCTCCCCTTTTCTTTCCCTCCCCTCTTTCCCTCCCCTTTTCTTTCCCTCCCCTCTTTCCCTCCCCTTTTCTTTCCCTCCCCTCTTTCCCTCCCCTTTTCTTTCCCTCCCCTCTTTCCCTCCCCTTCCCTTTCCCTCCCCTCTTTCCCTCCCCTTTTCTTTCCCTCCCCTCTTTCCCTCCCCTTTTCTTTCCCTCCCCTCTTTCCCTCCCCTTTTCTTTCCCTCCCCTCTTTCCCTCCCCTTCCCTTTCCCTCGCCTTCCCTCTCCCCCCCTTCCTCCTCTCTCTCCCCTTCCCGCTCCTTCTCCTTCCCTTTCCCTCCCCTTAGCTCTCCTCCTTCCTCTCACCTGCCATTAGAGTCAACAGCATACCAGCCAGCCGGTCGTGTGCTCGGCGCTTGTTCTATTCCACCGCCACTCCTTCCAGCCTCTATTCAACAACACACTTCAACAAGCTCTTGTCGGCGCCACACAAACGAGCAAGTGCTAGCCTTCCCTCCCCGCCCACTCCCCTTCCCCTCCCCTTCCCCTCCCCTTCCCCTCCCCTTCTCCCCCACCTGCCCCTCCCCTTCCCATCCCCCTACCCCGCACCTGCATCCGCACCCAATCTAGCCCTCACCCCCACGCGCAACTCTCACTCACTGCATCGGTTGAATGCTGGCTCTTGGTGGCAACAAACGCACCACTCGCACCACATCCCCTCTACCCTCTCCCCTCTCCCCTATTCCACGGAACAAGCTTTGAGTCATTATGGCGTTTCGCCTAGGCAAACAACTCTAGAGAACACTTAGTTCTTGAAACGTCAACCCAGGAATTGGCGCCATGCAAGCTCTGCGCAAACACGTTACACATGCTTTCTGATGCCTCCCCATGCCCAGTCCGCACCCAACCTTGTCCCCCTTCCCTCTACCCCTTCCTTTCCTACCACCTCCCATCACTCCCTCTTGCCTCGCCACTCCCTCTTGCCTCGCCACTCCCTCTTGTCCCATCTCCAACCTTCCTCCTCCTTCTCGCCGCATCTTCTCGATTCTCCACTCCTCTCATCCGCCCCACGCCACGCCTCGCCATCCACACCATGCCGTCCACCGGGCCGGCTCCTTTCCAAACTAAAACACTCCCTCCCCCCAACTCACCTTTCTCGTTCGAAAGTTCTCAACGTCGTGCTTATGAGTCGGCGTGCTGTTCATGATGAATTCTCAATTGAGTCGACTGAAAAATCACCTCCCAACAACCCACCCTCCCTTATCTCACCCCCACCCCCCCACCCCCCCACCCCCCTATCCCCGCACTCCAGGCCTGGCGTTCCATCCGCTAGACGGCATCATCCAGGCCCTCCCACACGTGCTCTCCCTCTTCCTCGTCCCCACGCACTTCACCACGCACCTGCTGCTGCTCTTCGCGGAGGGCATCTGGACCACCAACATCCACGACAACCTGCACGGCAACGTGCTCTTCATCATGGGCGCCAAGTACCACACCATTCACCACACCACGTACCGGCACAACTACGGGCATTATACTGTGCTGTTTGACTGGCTGTTTGGGACCCTGCACTCGCCTGAGGAGTATGAGGAGGAGCGGCGGCGGGTGAAGGGGAAGGCAAAGGTGGTGGAGGGGGAGGAGGAGAGCCGGGAGGGGAAGAAGGTGAAGTGAGGAAGGGGGAGGAGTAGGAGAGGGATGGTACGAGAGGTGGGTGGGAGAGAGGTTGAGGAATGATGGGGCTGCGGAGGATTGGGAGGTTACTAAGAGTGCGTTGGTGGGTGGGTGGGGGCATGGCCCATAGGTATAGCCATCACCAGTGTAGAAAGACTTAGTGAAAAAGGCTGCGCACCTGATACAGGCACATTCGGTGACCTGTGCCTGCTCCAGTGCGAATGTGTATGTGTTGTGTACCGTGCGTGTGCTAGTCGCAGCGACACTGAGGGCTGGGTTGGGTATGGCTGCGGGTTGGCCTGTGGCCAGCCCATTGGGAGCCACGGGCTGCTCGTGTGGTGGAGAGTGAAGGGAGTGATGTCAAATGTTGTAGCCTGTAGTGAGGTTTGTCTTAGGGGGTACAGAAGTTAGGGTTTGTCATATGTACCCCAACCAACATCATTGCAACACTCATTCCTCATTCTGACATGGTATCAGCTAGGTTAGGATCCTGTGGGATCCCGTTCCTCCGTTCTCCGTTCGTACCTCCCGAGCCTGATCCTACCTCTCGTTCGTACCAGTTTCGTAGTTACCGCGCCTAGTACCGAGCCTAGCGTCATCTCCCCCGTCGCGTCACGCCTGTTCCCCCCCGTCGCGTCACGCCCGTTCCCCCTGTCACGTCGCGCCCGTTCCCCCCGTCGCGTCGCGCCCGTTCCCCCCGTCGCGTCGCGCCCGTTCCCCCTGTCGCGTCGCGCCCGTTCCCCCCCGTCGCGTCGCGCCCGTTCCCCCCGTCGCGTCGCGCCTGCCTGTTACCCCCCCCCGTCCCGTCGCCCTGTCCCGTCGCGTCGCCCTGTCCCGTCGCCCTGTCCCGTCGCGTCGCCCTGTCCCGTCGCGTCGCCCTGCCCTGTCCCGTCGCGTCGCCCTGCCCTGTCCCGTCGCCCTGTCCCGTCGCGTCGCCCTACCCCGTCGCGTCGCCCTGCCCTGTCCCGTCGCCCTGCTCCGTCGCGCCGCCCTGCCCCGTCGCGTCGCCCTGTCCCGTCGCGTCGCCCTGCCCCGTCGCGTCGCCCTGACCTTTCCCCCGTCGCGTCGCCCTCCCTAGGCCCTGGCCTGTCGCCCTTCCTAGGCCCTGGCCCGTCGCCCTACCCTAGGCCCTGGCCCGTTGCCCTACCCTACGTCTTGGCCCGTCGTCCTAGCCCACTCTTCCGCTGCGACTGAGTCCTCTTCCCCCCCCGGTTGTTACTCGCCTGTTCGTTCTCACTATGGCGACTCCGCGAGTTCTTCGTTTCGACGCCGACGGTAGACCCCTTGACTTTTCCGTCTGGCTTCTTCGCGCTCGTCGTCTGTTAGAGAGTCAGGTCCAGGGGGGCGAGACCCTCTGGTCACACGCTACTGGTGACCTCCCCGAGCCCCCCGAGCCTACAGCTTTAGGCCCTGCTCCTGACGACGCTGCTACGGCTCGCTTTGCCCGTCAGCGCGCTGACCGGACGGCTTGGACGTCGCGTGACGCTGCGGCCTGCATCGCACTCAGCAGCCTCCTCCCTGAGTCCGAGGAGGTCCACTTTACTCAGGTTCGCACCGCTGCTGCGTACCTCACTGCGATTAAGGCCCGCTACTCTACTCCCGCTACTGTCTCTCTCGGCCGTCTTTTCCTCCCGTTCCTGTTTCCTGATCTTGCCTCGTTTGAGCGCTCTGCTGACTTGATCGCTCACCTCCGCTCGCTTGACGCTAGTTACCGCGCTGCTTGCACTGAGGCACAGCTTGCACTGCTTCCTCCCCCCATGGCGATTACTGTCTATTTCATCGCCACTAGCCTCCCTGACCGCCTTGCCTCCGTTCGTGACGCGTTTCTGCTGAAGCACCCTAGTGAGCTGACTATCGAGGTCCTTGAGTCTGCACTCAAGGATGTCGAGAGCAACCTTCGTTCGGTAGCTGCCACCTCTGGTACTGTGTCCCCCCCACTCTTCCACGGGTGCACAGTCCCGCAGTTACCCACCTTCACTGCCTCTCTTGCCACTGCCGCTACTGACGCGACTGCGGCTGCTGTTACGACTGCGTCGCGGTCCCGCGGCAGGGGGGGCAAGAAAGGTGGTTCCGGTGGAGGTGGAGGCGGAGGTAGCGGAGGTAGTGGGGGTGCTGTTGCGACTGGCGGTGGTGGGAGTGCAGCGTCTGGAGAGACCCCTCGTGCAGCGGCCGGTGACTCCACTGCACCTGCTGGTGGCAGCGACCCTCGAGCTCGTCAGTCGCCTCCTGTACTGCCGGCCCCGCTAGGTGGAGCAGCGGCGTGGTACCAGGCTCAGCGTCAGCAGCACCTTCAGCAGCAGCAGCAGCCCCTTTCCTCCCAGCAGCCTCAGCAGCAGCAGCGTCAGCAGCTGGCTCCGGGGTCGGGGCTGCGTCAGCCCCAGCGCGGTGCTGCTTACCCTCCCTGCCCCTACCAGGTTCAGACAGGTCCTCGTCGGGGCCACCCTTGTGGCCGCTTTCACCCCCCTGGTCAGTGCTTTGCTCAGCTCACTGACACGGTCCGGTTGACCTACGGGGTTGGCGGTCCTGCTCCTGACTGGCTTCCTCTGGTTCAGCGCTACGGCTCCGCTCTGTGGGGCATGTCTGCTGAGCAGTTAGTTGATCTGATTAGTGCTCCTCATGCTATGTATGCTGTTGTTGACTCTAGTGTTTCTGACTCTGTTTACTCTGGTGTTGTTAGCTTAGGTGCTAGTCTTGCTCAGTTGCCTGTTGCTAGTGTAGGTACTTGTGTAGACTCTAGACCAGCGACTACCTCAGAGGACGCTTCGCTGTCGTTCACACTGGACTCTGGAGCCTCCCACTGCTTCTTTCGGGACAGCACGACACTTACACCACTTCCTGCGCCTGTTTCTGTAGCGTTGGCTGATCCCACTACGGGACCAGTCACTGCACGTCACACTACCACTTTACCGTGTCCTGCTGCTCCCTCCGGGTCTCTCACTGGGTTTCACGTCCCCTCGTTCTCCCGGAACTTGGTGGGCGTGCGACCCCTCGTGAGCCAGCACGTGGGTGTGTGGTTTGAGCCTTCTGGAGAGACTGCGGTGTGTGTTGACGGAGACTCTTACCAGCCTCTTGCTACCTTTACTGCTGAGCCGGGCTCGGGTCTCTACACTCTTCACACTGGCCCGCGTGCGCCGCAGCAGCAGCCGCAGCAGCAGCAGCAGCCGCAGCCGCAGCAGCAGCAGCAGCAGCAGCACCAGCGGCCGCACCAGCAGCCCCCCCTACTGCCACTGCCCCCGGTTCCCCCCCCCGTTCGGGTCCCCGCGTCTCACCAGGTTGCTACGTCCCCCCAGGTGTCTGTGTCGTGTCAGGTTCCTCCGTCTGTTCCAGTCGCTGCGTCGTGCTCCTGCCGGTCGCTTGCCCACCCCACCGTTCTGTGGCACCACCGGATGGGGCACCCGTCCCTTCCACGTCTGCGCGCTATGTCTAGTCAGCGTCTTGTCCTAGGCCTCCCACGTGTCTTGCCGTCGCTGCCGCCTTCGCCTGCGCCGCCGTGTCGTCCCTGCGTCGAGGGTAGGCTGCGCGCCACCCCTCACTCCTCCTCCCTTCGTCCGGCCACCGAGCCTTTTGAGACGCTTCACTTGGACGTCTGGGGCCCAGCCCCTCGTCTAGGCCCTGAGCGTGAGCGTTACTTTCTGGTGGTCGTTGACGACTTCTCCCGCTACACCACAGTGTTCCCTCTGGCGAAGAAGTCTGAGGTGACTTCTACGCTGATCAGGTGGTTGCTCACCACCGAGGACACTCGTGGTCGACGTGTCAGCTGTCTCCACTCCGACCGTGGGGGTGAGTTTCGCTCCGGCATTCTCGCTGGATTCTGTCGCGAGCAGGGCATTCGTCAGTCCTGGACGCTTCCAGAGTCCCCACAGCAGAATGGGGTTGCTGAGCGCCGCATAGGCCTGGTCATGGAGATCGCCCGCACCTCCCTGACTCACGCCTGTGCCCCCCATTTTCTGTGGCCCTACGCGGTCAGGTACGCCGCGCACCAGCTGAACCTCTGGCCACGTGTCTCTCGACCAGAGGTTTCACCGACCAGTCTTTGGACAGGGTCCCCTGGTGTTGCGTCGCGGTTTCGTGTCTGGGGGTGCTTGGCTCTTGTCCGCGACACCTCCGCGGACAAGCTCTCGCCTCGTGCCGTCCCCTGTGTCTTCCTTGGTTTCCCTGAGGACTCCTCTGACTTCACCTTTTACCACCCTCCCTCTCACCGGTTCTTTGACTCCCGTGACGTCCGTTTCGAGGAGTCCACTCCGTACTACGTCAGGTACCCCAGTCGAGGTCTCCCGGTTCCTCCTCCCCCCCTCTTCCTGACTGCCGTTCCCCCTCCTGCTCCCCCGGTACAGCCTCCCCCCCCTGGTCCAGCCCCGTCAGGTGTGTCCCAGGCTACCCCTCCTCCTTCGGTAGCCCCTCCGGTACAGCCTCCCTCCCCACAGTCCTCCTCGCAGCGTGCCGCTGGTGCTAGCTCTCGAGAGGTTGGTGCGACGCCTGTTCCTGTACCGGTTTCTGGTTCTGGGGGTGCTGGAGTTAGAGCTGGAGTTGGAGCTGGAGTTGGAGCTGGAGTTGGCACTGGAGTTTCTGGTTCTGGGGGTGCTGGAGTTGGAGCTGGGGTTGGAGCTGGAGTTTCTGGTTCTGGAGTTGGAGCTGACCAGGTGGGTGCAGAGGACGCTTGTCGTCCGGGAGCTGGTGCTGGCCGCGCGGACACTGGGGGTGCTGCGTCTGGGGGTGAGGGTGCGCCTCCTTTGGGTTCAGGTGAGCCTGGGTCTGGAGCTGGTGTTAGTGCTGCCTATGGGGGTGGTGAGCCTAGTTCTTCTGGAGTGGACTCTGGAGCTGCCGCTGCTTCGGACACTACTCCGCCCCCCCACCCCTACCCGACTAGGCACCAGGCTCGTGTTCGCCGTGCCCGTGACGATCAGCTGGCGTTGGAGAGAGAGGAGAGGGAGTTACAGCGGCTGGAGGAGCAGCAGCAGCAGCTGGACCCGCAGGAGCAGCAGTCCCAGCAGCAGCCGCGTCCGCAGCAGCAGCAGTCGCAGCCGCAGCAGCAGCAGCCACTTCCTCCTCCTGTCTCGGGTCTTCGGATCCTTGGTCTCCCCTCCCCTTCTCCTCCCTCCTCCGCCTCTCCTCCTGTCTACGGTCCCACGTTTCCTCCTCCTGACTCCTCCCCCGCTGTTTTCCCCAGTTCTCCGCCCTTGTCCTCTTCTCCTCCGTCTCGTTCTTGGGCTACTCGTCGCTCCCCTCGTGCTCGTCCCTCGTCTCCTGTTCCCTTCACTGACCTTCGTACTGCCTTCCTTCTTTCTAGTCCACCTCGTCCGTCTCAGTCTGTGCTTCCGTCTCCTCCTGAGTCGGCCCTCACTGTGTCGCTCCCTACTCCTGTCACTGACTACTACCGCACGTACCGTCCTGTTCTCTCTCGTGTTCTCGCCTCTCTTGTTACTCACCCTCGTGCCTCTGTGTCCTCTGTGTCCGCTCTTACTGCCGCAGTTACTGACTTTGCCTCTACCCGCCGCCTTGACTACGCCACCACGCTTGTGGCTGCTCCTCCTACCAGTCCTCTGGCCGTCGGGGGTGTGTCTGCCCTTGGCCGTGACGCCCTAGAGGACAGGCAGTTTGAGCTAGAGTTCCTGGCGGCCGCTTCCCCTCATCTCTGTGCCATGCTCCTCGCCCCTGAGGGTGACCCCGACGCCCTTGACATTCCGACTCCTTGCACTTACGCTGAGGCAGTGTCAGGGCCTTGGGCCTCTCAGTGGAGAGCTGCCATGGACGCAGAGATGGCCTCCTACAGATCCACAGGCACCTACGTCGATGAGGTTCCCCCCCCGGGGGCGAACGTAGTCGACGGCATGTGGATCTACAGGGTGAAGCGGCCACCGGGATCTCCCCCGGTCTTCAAGGCGCGCTACGTGGCTAGAGGTTTCAGTCAGCGCGAGGGAGTTGACTTCTTTCAGACCTTCGCACCTACCCCGAAGATGACCACTCTTCGGGTGTTACTACACGTAGCAGCAGAGAGAGACTACGAGTTACACTCTCTTGACTTCTCCACTGCTTTCCTTCAGGGCAGCCTACACGAGGAGGTCTGGTTGCGTCGTCCCTCGGCCTTCACTGGCACCTTCCCTCCTGGGACCCAGTGGAGGCTGAGGCGACCTGTTTACGGTCTTCGTCAGGCCCCTCGTGAGTGGCACGACACTCTGCGTTCTACCCTCTCTGACCTTGGGTTCCAGCCGTCTTCTGCCGACCCGTCGCTGTTCGTTCGTCGTGGCTCCACACCGTTCTTTGTTCTGGTTTACGTCGACGACCTCGTTTTCGCCACTCCGGACAGGGTTGCTTTGGCAGACGTGAAGTCCGAACTGCAGAAGAGACACACGTGCACTGATCTTGGTGAACTGCGCCACTACCTTGGCCTGCAGATCACCAGGGACAGAGCCGCTCGCACCATTACACTCTCACAGTCACACATGGTGCAGCAGGTCCTTCAGCGGTTCGGGCTTCAGCACTCCACCGTACAGCGCACACCTCTAGCTGTTGACCACAGACTCACTGGTCCCTTTCCTGACGAGCCGTTTGAGCCTAGTGGTCCCTACGCAGAGCTTGTGGGTTGCCTCATGTACCTGATGACTTGTACTCGCCCGGACCTCGCCTTCCCTCTCAGCATCCTTGCGCGCTTTGTTGCGCCAGGGAGACACCGTCCTGTTCACTGGACGGCAGCTGTGAGGGTGGCGAAGTACCTAGCGACTACATCAGGCGTGGGGCTAGTTCTTGGAGGGCAGCAGTCTGTCGTACTCACTGGTCACTGTGACTCCTCTTACGCTGACGACGCTGAGACTCACAGGTCTACTCAGGGGTACTGTTTCAGTCTGGGTTCTGGAGCTGTTTCCTGGCGTTCCACGCGCTCCTCTTCTGTCTCGACCTCTACAGCTGAGGCTGAGATTTACGCTGGTGCCATGGCGGCACAGGAGTTGCGGTGGTTGACCTTCTTGCTCACTGACCTTGGTGAGCGGCCGAGCTCTGCACCGACCTTGTTTACTGACAACAAGGCGTCGATCCTCCTCTGTCGTGAGCCGCGACTGGAGAGCAGAGTGAAGCACATTCACATCAGGTACTTTCTTCTGCGAGAGTTGCAGAGGCGTGGACAGGCTCGCTTCGAGTTCGTAGAGTCCGAGGCCAACACTGCAGACATCTTCACCAAGGCGCTTCCGCCTTGTGACCACCAGAGGTGTTGTGTGCAGTTAGGCCTTGTTGACACAGGTTCTAGTCATGCGTAGACTTGAGTTTATTGCCTGCTTCGTCTGTACATTTACTATATATACTTGTGATCTCTTGGACTGGCCTTGTGGCCACTGTTGCTTGTGCTCAGAGTGTGTGGTGACGTTGTGATCCACCCTGAGCTTTGTTTTCTTTTGGACTGGTCTTGTGACCGTACTCTTTTTGTTTTTGCTAGACACCCCTCACTTAGGCTATGGGGGTGTGTCAAATGTTGTAGCCTGTAGTGAGGTTTGTCTTAGGGGGTACAGAAGTTAGGGTTTGTCATATGTACCCCAACCAACATCAATGCAACACTCATTCCTCATTCTGACAAGTGAGTGGGTCGTGGCCCCAGGGTGTGATGTGTACTTCAGTGTGCACGCGGTGGAGCATGTTTGGGTGATGTGACTCGTGATGTGGTGGAGCATGATTGCTGCTGCTCTGTGGTTTTCGTGTATTTGTTTCAGATTTTGTTCTGGGATTGTGGTAGGAGCAGCCTGACTGACTGCTGTCATGTGACTCAGGCTTGTGCATGCAGGGACTGTCGTAGGATTTAGATAGCCAGGGGGGAAAGATGTGGGAATAGAATGAGGATTAGTATAAATTATTGCAAGCATTTTCGCACTCTACATAACCTTTTGAACGTGTTAGTAACTTACAATCTGTGAGAGAAGGCATGCTTCGGGCAAAACCTGTGACTATGTTCACATTGTGGTGGATTGTGGTGTAACGGACGCCATTGCTGGTATTACACACGGCATGGGTGGTATCACACACGGCATGGGTGGTATCACACCCGGGATGGATGGTATCACACACGTCATGGATGGTATCACACACGGCATGGATGGTATCACACACGTCACTGCACTTTAGATTTACCAACGCGCTGCACTGCACTATGCTTTGAGGTACCGCATTGGACCGATATGCAAAGCTCTGCACTACTAGTGTCCAATGCTGTATCGTTATGGAGTGAACTGTACATGGTGTGTGCGTGTGTGCCAGACCAGACCAGACCCCAGCACAAGCAGGCAGAGGAAAGTGGTGGAATGGGTGGGCGGTCATGCCATGAGTGATGGTGAGTGAGTGGGAGAATGGCACATACACGGACAAGGGGATATGTGCAAAGATGATGTGTGTATGCACACGGATGTGCGGGGGTTATTTGAGGGAGTCATGAAGGTCCTTGTGGGTGGCCTGATAGCGTGATAGCAGGTAGTGCCCGCTGGTGGTTGGGGGAAACCTGGAGTGACGTTGGGGAGAGGTAGGTGGAGAGGAGTGAAAGGGGTGCGGGGCATGGGAGGATAGAGAGGGGCATGAGAGGAGGGAGAGAAGTGGAAGGCGGGAGGATTGGGGGGAGGGACATGCGTGAGGAGGAAGAGCAGTGGCCAGAAAGAGGGGGAGGGCAGGGGATGCAGATCCATGTGAACATGTGGCATTGCTCCATCGCTCCAGCATGTCTCCTATGGCGTGCACGTTGCAATGTGTGTAAGAGGGAAGCACAAACTAGCATACCTGCAGCACTACGGTGAGCCCCATCAGTCAGTGCCCGTACTGAACCATATCCGTACCGTATCGTGCCATGCTGTGCTGTGCCCGTGCATGGCCATACCGTGCAGGGTTGGCAGCATCAACCCGAGAGGGCACGCACTCCACAAGGCAGTCGAAGTTGGGCTCAAAGAAGAACGGCAGCGACACCCTCCCCGCTGCCAACACCTCGCTGCCACCGCCACCACCACCAGAGTCGCCAGTGCCAGCAGCAGTACCACCGCCTGCAGCAGCACTACCAGCGGGATGACCCTCAATCCCACAAGCACTGATGCTGCCGCCACCATCCTCCTCCTCCTCCTCCTCCCCATCGGGCAGCACGAGCACGCGGTGCAGGGTGGAGCGCCATGTGGCGTTGCTCCACCGCTCCAGCATGTCGCCTATGTTCACAATGTACGTGCCTGGTACCACTGGCACGCGCACCCACTGCTGTGCCGCACTGCTGCGATCCACACAGATCTGGAGTTATGGGGACAGCAGGGAGGAGTGGGGAGCAGAGAGAGGTGGCTGATAGTTCTGAATTCAGCGAAGCGTGTCAAATGTAAGAGATTACCCCCATTCTTGCAATGCCTGTCCAACTCCATGCCGCCCTATCCCCACATGAAAGGGGTGAGCGTGATTATTATGTCGACTCAAATATCACAATGAGCGCCCATGCCCAGCACGCCCTCCTGCGATTTTCTTTGCGTTCACAACGTAAAGAAGCAATGACCCCTCCTCGCTTTCCCTCTCGTCCAGCCCACCTCCCTGCCCCCGTCTCCCCTTCTTTCCCAAACCGCCACTCTCTTCCCCTCCCCATTCCCCACCCAACCCCCCACCTCCAGGCCAGGGTGTGACACGAGCAGCAGGGTGAGCATGCCATAGTCCGTGTGCGCGCCCGCGCCCAGCACGCCCTCCTGCGGCCGAGACGCCTCCCCCGAGTAGTGCAGCAGCCGCAGCAGCGCTATTGGGTCGTCGAATCTTCCGGGGAGATCGAAAAAGTCCCGCGGCTGCCCGAGCGCGAGTGCGAGGATGGGGAGGAGGCGGCGGGCGAGGGAGAGGCAGGCGGAGAAGTAGGCAGTGATGGTGGGACAGAAGGCGGGGAGGAGGTCTGGTGGGGTGTGGGGGGGCAAGGGAGGAGCGGTGGGGGGAAGGAGGATGAACAAAAGGAGCAAAAGGCCGGGAAGGAGGGGAAGCGGAGGGGGTGGGAGGGAAGAGGGGGTGGTGAATCCAAAGCAGAGAACGGTGAGGTGAGGTAAGGTGAGGTGAGGTGAGGTGATGTTGAGGTGCGATGAGGTGAACGAGCAGGTACGATAGACAGCCCCCAACTACTTCCCCGGACAATACATAAGTGCCCCATGTGCTGCCCCACGTGCTGCCCTACGTGCTGCCCCACGTGCTGCCCCACAAACACACACACACCTGCGGGCGGCCAGACGTTGGGGCCGTGCAGGGGCTTGTGGGCACGGGGGTCGTGCGGGGGGATGTCCACCCCCACGTAGTAGCCCTCCTTGGTGTCGCCGCGCTGCCCCTGCACCGCCGGGTCTAATACCTCCTCCTCGAACGCCGTGTACCCGCGGTTGTTGCTGTCCTGGTGGGGGGGGGGGGGGGAAAGGGGGTGGGGAAGGGGGGGGGGGAAGGGGGGGGGGAAAGGGGGTGGGGAGGGGGGGAAAGGTGGGGGGAAGGGGAGCCGCGGATGGAATGGGACAGAGTGGGGAGAGAGGGGGACACGGGAGACGGGGAGGATGGCAGGGAGGGACGGACAGGAGGGGAGTGCGGGGAGGGCAGGTCATAGGGGAGACGACATAAAGGAGAGGGTGAGGGAGTGAAGGGGTGACGAGAGCGGAGACGAGAAGCGTGGGGGGTTGAGGGGAGAGAGCGTGAGGGGAGAGGGAGGTGGGCGGGAAGAGAATGGATAGAGAAAGTGCAGAGTTTGATGTGGTGCGACGAGTGATGATAGGCAGGAGCGAGGAGGAGGGGAGAGCGAAAGAAGAAAGTGAGTTGGGTGGAGACGGCAACAGGAGTGATTGGGAGGGAGAGAGAGTTGGAAGGATGACTTTTGAGTTGACTCAACAGTCACCTTGGGAGGAAATGAGAGGTGAAAGGGAGCGACGAAGATGGAACGAGAGGTCACACCACAGCAGAGAAGGGAGGTTGGGTGGTGCGGTGCTGCCCACACACAGCCACATACCCATGGCTTTGTTCCTTCTTTCCCCCCAGTTCACCTGCTTTTTGCCCATGCCAGGAAACATGCTGTGAATACCTGGCGCACAGCCGCCTGGCAGGTTGCATCAGCCCATGCTCATGTGCCCCACCTGGCGCACAGCAACCCACCTGGCGCACAGCAACCCACCTGGCGCACAGCAACCCACCTGGCGCACAGCAACCCACCTGGCGCACAGCAACCCACCTGGCGCACAGCCACCCACCTGCCGCACAGCCACCCACCTGCCGCACAGCCACCCACCTGCCGCACAGCCACCCACCTGCCGCACAGCCACCCACCTGCCGCACAGCCGCCTTGGCTTCAGGGGGCAGGCCGAAGAGCAGCCTCGTCTGGTGGAAGGCGTCGGCGATGAGCTGACGTGGCACGCCGTGATTGGCCAGCAGGAAGAAGCCGACCTCGCTGCATGCCTGGAGGGGCAGGAGGGAAGAGAGGACAGGAAGGAGGGCGCAAGGGGAAGGTGCAGAAAAGAGAGCGCAGGGGGAAGTACGCAGGGGGAAGTGCGCAGGGGGAAGTGCGCAGGGGGAAGTGCGCAGGGGGAAGTGCGCAGGGGGGAAGGCAAGAGGGGAGAGTGAGTGAATGGATGGACGCACCATGGGAGGATGGCGATGCGACAAGCATGTGAGGGCAATGGGGAACGGGGGAAGGGGAGGAGCGCAAAGATAATCAAGAGGCCGCTGCTAGTCTCCTGGAGGAAGGGGGAACGGGGCACAGGGATGGGGAGGGGGAGAACAGAGGGGAAGACCGGGGAGGAAGGGTTGGGAGGGCGGGGGAGGTAGACGGGGAAAGAGGAAGGGAGACTAGCATGTATATGAGTCGCTTTTGAGGAGTGTTAATGGCAAGAGTTGAGAGGACAGCGCAGCAATAGCGGTTGTTTTTTAATGACTGTTATTAACTCTCAAAAGAGGTGTCAAGCTCGCGTCGCCTTCACTGCTTCGTCGTCGCGGCGCGTCTGAGCTAGATACCACAACTCCGCCCGCACAGCGCGGCAGCATCTAAAGGCCACAATCACAGCCCGCCGCGCTGCGCGGCTGCGACACGGCTCTCAGCGCGATGTCCGTACGGTATCAGCGGGATATGCCCCGCGCAACTTCTCCCCGCATCTTCTTGTCCCCCACCCGCGCCAACCCGCGTCCCCCAGCTGCGCACCTTGCTTCCGCACGCCGCCAACGGTTCCCCCCACCTTATCCACGGCGGCGGCGCACGCCGCCTCTCCTGCCGACAAGTCCACCACCGGAATCGCGCTGGCCGTTCCTGCGGGCGCTTCGAGCATCGCGACGCGTCGGGAAGGCAAAACGGCTTCGTCAAGAGAGTGTACTTTTAAGGGCCTACAGGGATTTATGGTAATGAAGGCCTACAACAAGGGAAATTATGTCAATGGTAACTTACATGGGGCTCTATAACGCGTACGGTAACCATTACAATGAGTTTTAACGCTTTTGGTAACTCGTTTCACGCGTTTGGTAACTATACACTGCAAAGCGATCATGTTATGAATGAACTTGCAGAGTGCGCAGTAAAACGAATATCGAGAATGAACTGATTACAGAATGACTGAACAATGAAGTAGCGAGGCCTAAATAGGGGAAAACCTAGCTAGGAAGAGGGTTCGGGATGGGATGGCTCGGTGATGGTTGCGATTGGTGCGGAGGCCGACTCGGGGGTGGTTTGGTGCGACGAAATAGGCAAGGCAGGTTCGTCGCGACACCCTCGGGATGTACTCGCTAAAGTGCGAGTACAGTAAGGAATTGTAACTCCTTACAGATCACCCGAATGGTAACTAGAAGAAACAATCGCCCGAAATGACCTTGACTCGAATTTTTTGCGCTCGCGCGAAACTTTTTTGATGAATCCTGATGCATCGGGTTCTGCCTACACCCTCTTATTCGTTTGCTGCACCCGCGATTATGCCACCTGCTCGGTACGTTCACATGGAAGGTTGGGACCGATGCGTTTACGTCACATAGAATCGAATCACACGCGTGGTCAGCAGGGCCTCAGATTGGTTTTTGTCAACACTTTCTGGTCAGTGTTAGTACAAAAAAAACAAGAGGCGACGAATTCGTCTTAGGGTTGCGAAGCGTTTTGCGCAATTATATAAATTTGTACAACTTCTAATTCTGTACATAATGCTGTAGTATGACACTAAGTGGTACTTCCTCTCACCAGGAAAAGGTCAAAAATGTATAACGCGATTGGGATTCGAACCGAAGACTTTGAGATTTCACTCCAAGCCTTGTACCACTGCTACATCACAGATGTTTGCTTCGAATAGCTAAAATTTTTAAAAATAAAAACTTGCGACGAATCTGAGACTACCTTAGAGTTTGTTCGCCCTTTTTTTCTCCCGCCTCTCCTCGCTCGTCACGCTCTACCAACTTCTCCACCTACTCTAACTGCAACTTAGGTAAGAAGATCCCTCAACTTTAACTCCAACTAAATTAGATGCCTATTAGATAGACTAACATTTAGTCATTCCGTATCCTAGCCGTGTAAATGGATGAGTATTAGCGAGACTTAGTTGTTTAAACTTAGGTTCTCGGCCCTTTGTAAAGATTTCAGGTTCTCCTTCCTGCATAAGCTTGCATCTGTTTCTTCTATTCTTCATCCTTAAACTTTTCCTCTCGTCGGTTGCCTTTTCTTCATATTTGCATGTTTTAGTTCATTTTTTTCTCAACCTCGTCTTAGGTTGTACATAAAGATTGTAATAGGTTGCATGTTCAGTCCATTTCGTTCTCTCTCGCTCGTTCTCTCTCTCCTGTTCTCTCTCTCCCGTTCTCTCTCTCCCGTTCTCTCTCTCCCGTTCTCTCTCGCTCGTTCTCTCTCTCCCATTCTCTCTCCCGTTCTCTCTCGCTCGTTCTCTCTCTCCCGTTCTCTCTCTCCCGTTCTCTCTCTCCCGTTCTCTCTCTCCCGTTCTCTCTCTATCGTTTTCTCTCTCTCGTTCTCTCTCTCGTTCTCTTTCTCGTTCTCTCTCGTTTTCTTTCTCTCTCGTTCTCTCTCTCTCTCTCTCTCTCTCTCTCTCTCTCTCTCTCTCTCTCTCTCTCTCGTTCTCTCTCTCTCTCTTTCTCTCTCTCTCTCTCTCTCTCTCTCTCTCTCTCTCTCTCTCTCTCTCTCTCTCTCTCTCTCTCTCTTTCGTTCTCCCTCTCTCTTGTTCCCTCTCTCTCGTTCTCTCTCTCGTTCTCTCTCTCGTTCTCTCTCTCTCTCTCTCTCTCTCTCTCTCTCTCTCTCTCTCTCTCTCTCTCTCTCTCTCTCTCTCTCTCTCTCTCTCTCTCTCTCTCTCGTTCCGTCTCTGTCGTTCTCTCGTTCTCTTTTGTCGAATCTCTCGTTCGTTCTCTCTCGTTCGTCCACTCTCTCGTTCTCGCTCTCTCGTCCTCTCTCTCTCTCTCTCTCTCTCTCTCTCTCTCTCTCTCTCTCTCTCTCTCTCTCTCTCTCTCTCTCTCTCTCTCTCTCTCTCTCTCTCTCTCTCTCTCTCTCTCTCGCTCTCGCTCTCGCTCTCGGTCTCCGTTGTTCTCGCTCAACGTATTTGTTATATTCTCTTCGTTCGTTTACTGTCTGGTCATGTGTTTTTCCCTTTGTTCTCTTTCTTTACTTTCGTTTTATGCCTTAGTACATTTTCTCCTTGTCATTTGTCAGCTCTAACCCTTCAATGCTCATGGCGTTTTTCTTGGCCCTTGTATTGTTTCATTTGTTTCTTCATTATTCCTTTTTCTTGTAATTTCATTATGCCTTGTTATTTCCCATTTGCCTTCCCTTCCTCAACCCAGCTTTGTCTTACTTTTCAGGCAGTCGAGCTCAATATGAGAAGTAGACTGATATTGCTTGTGACTTACAGTATAGGATACATAATGTCTTGGTGATTTAGGTTTCTATTTCATATGCGGTTAATATGCTTTGTCAGTTGACTTCGTGCGTGCGTGTCTGTGTGAATGTGTATGATCATGTGTATGCGTTGTGTTGTGTGCGTATGCGTTTTCATTCATGTTTCCATTGCATTAATAACACATGTCTGTGGGGTTTAAAAATTGGGATCAAACTATCATTTCCGAGAAGGTTCTTTGCGCACTCAGTGAGTGTGTCCATTCGAACTGGATTTGATGGAATTGACCTGTTTTTTATATCACACAGATTGTGTTGTTTCATGTAACAGTTGGATGATTCAGAAATTATGCTATTGAGCTCCCCCCCATGCTAGGCAGGGGATGCGGTAGCATAGGGTCTGCGTCAATTAACTGTTACGCACTTCCATCATGCTGTGCATTTATTTCATTACGGTACCGGTAGTACCGTATATGCATTATACTTATGCATTTGCATTTACTTCATCTACTTATAACAACAGCAGACATATGCATCACGGAATAAACAGTTATGCATTCACAGTACATCATTTTGGCAACTCATGAAATATAGGTTCAGTCAAAGTAAACTAGGAAATGAGAAGGAATGTGGTTCAGCACGTGGTAAATTGACGCGGCAGATACATAGCAGTCAGTCATTTAGCTAGTACCGTTCACTATATTTTTTCCCTCTATTTTTTAAAGGTATTGAGGATTGAAAAAAAAAATTGTACATAACGATTGTAATAGGTTGCTTCGCAACCCAAAAAATATTTCTGTCAGGGTCGCCATATGAAAACACCCTGAAAAATCAGGGTGCTCTCTGGGAAAAATCTTTTTTATCAGAGTCGACAACAATTGCCACGCTGATTGATTCATTATAGTTCAACAAGCGAATACCACTAACTAACAATCGCATACAACCACTACTAGTACTAATACCACATCGCATCCTCATCATCACCAACGTCAGCTGCACCTGCTGCATCCTCCTCTTCATCTAGGTCTACAGGGTTGGCCTGGTCTCCTGCCTCTGCCTCCTCCTACCCCCGACGCCTCCTATCTGCCTCCTGCCTGGAGAAGTTGCAGGTGTTGAGCGGCTTCCGCTTCTTGTAGTTACGCCAGATCTCGACTATTTTGTCCCAGTTGGGCTTGTAATGGAGCAGGGACATGCACATCAAGTCACTAAGACGAGCATCTTTGAGGCTGCCTCGCTGCCAGGACTTAATGACGTTATGCCGCGAGAAGCCGCGCTCGCATTCGACTATGCTCAACGGTAGGACCGGCACCGCCACCCAGAGCCGCACCTGGTTCGGGCAGTGCTGCTGCCAGTCGTCGGTCTTGAGCATGGCGGTAAGACCAGTGTGGAATCCTCGCTCACCCTTCGGTGCACGCGAAAGGACGGGGATTAGCAGTCGCACTTCCTTGACTACTTTCTTCTTGTCGACACCTGCAGCTAGAAAACCAAGCACGGATATGGAAACATAGTGGTTGATAAGAAATCCGACATGACACAAGGATGGAGAGGCACAGCATGCACACATAAGGCATCGGGCTCACCAGGTATGATCTCCTCGCACTCTTCCGCCCGGAAGAGAGTGATCAGCGCCTCAAGATGCTCCCGACACTTCGCTTGGCGCTCGTGCCTGCCGTGCGGCCAATTGTCAGGGGTGAACAAGCCCACGCCCGAGAGCTTGTCGAGGTCGCCCAACCGATCCAAGAGGTTGGCCACGATGAGCCTAGCAAACTCGGTGCAGATGTCGATGCACGCGTCTTGGTGCCCAGGTCCGGGGTAGTCGTCAAGTTTATCCTCATGCAGTATGAACGTGAAGGTGCATGTCTGCCCGTCCGAGTCGCTGCCCTCGATGCAGACTTCCCGCTTGTCTTCGGGGCCGTGCTTCTCAAGCCATGGCGAGAGCCTTGGACTGAGCCCTCCGCCAAACTCGTCCCCGCAGTCGACGTAACGGGCCTCCAGATGTCCAGTTGTACGGCGGATCTGCGTGTGGACAGCTGAGAGATCAAGCTGTGGGGGAAGGAATGGAAGCAAGGTGGCAGAAATTAGGCGCCATATTTTAAAAGAAACACCGGTCAAAATACAGACAGAACGCATAGACAATGGCCATGCAAGTCTAGCCTACGTGGACGCACCTCTCGTCGCTGGAACGTCCTACTCACGGAGTTCATCTGGTCAAGCACGTCGGCAAGGAAGAACAGGAGAAAGTGGAACCGGAACGACGTCACCACCTTGCACAACTTGTCATTCCACTCCTTCACTATCGTGATGACTGCCGGCAGGACCGCCACGAACCTGGCGAAGGCATCACCACGTGATAGCCACCATACGGTGTGAATCCCTTGCAGCTCCAGAAAGGTCTCGGTAAAAACCTCTTGGAGGTCCTTCAAGCTCTGATGCCATGGAACCGACCGGCCCAGATGC